TTTCTTTAACAATTTCTCACGGTTTGCCTGTGTTGCAGCAAATGTCAGTACTTCACTCATTTTTAATAGCTGAATAATGCTCCACTGTGCGGCTGTACCATGCTTCATTTAGTATGGGCTGTTTTTACTTTTGGCTATTGGGGATAATGCTTAATAAAAATTTATGTGGAATTTTTAAAAATGGATTTATGTGATTTATCTTGGTTATATATAGCTAAGAATAGAATTGCTGGATCATATGGTAACTTTATGTCTGCTTTTGAGGACCTCCCAAAATGTTTTCCAAAGTTATGACAGCTATATAACTGTTTTGGTTTTTTGAGACAGGGTTTTACTGTGTAGTTCAGGTGGGCCTTGAACGCATGATGATCCTCTTGTCTTAACCTGCCGAGTGCTGGAATTACAGGTGTACCACCATGCCCAGCTCTATCAAATATATGAAAGTTTTAATTTCTCTTTATCTTTGTCAGCATTTGTAAATATCTTGCTCAACTATAGCCATATTTCTTTTAATTTAGATGTAATTCACATCCTATAAATTTCACCTTTTAAAGGTCTACAGTTTAGTATATCTAGTGTAGTCATACTGGTGTGCAACCATTGCCAGTATCTAATTCTGGAATGGTTCATTCCCTCTGAAAGAAACTACGTTCCATCAGCAGGCACTCCCCATTCCTCCCCTTCCCAGGTCCTGGCAGCGAGTACCCTGTAAATTTTCTCTGGTTATATAAGACAGGTTGAGATGCAGTATCTGATGGTTGCCATATCAGCGTTCGTTATTTTACTCCTCACTGTCACCATAGTATCTAAGCATTTGACCAAACAGTTGAGCAGATGAAGCCAAGGATAGACAGCACCTGGCAGCTGAAAGGAAGACTGTCCTAAATTGACCATGCCCTCACTTGTCCTATTAGACACCCGCACAATGTAGCCAGCTGGGAGGTGACAAGGAGAGCGCAAAGCTAGAGAAAGTCAAGCCTGAGAAATGGATCTGTGGCCCGAATTTGGGCTTGTGTAATAAGAGGAGCAAAGACTTTGGGTTTGAATCTTGGCTCTGTTTCCTACCTCTGTAATCACAGAAAAAGAATCAGTTTCCTTCTTTGTCTATGAGGAGGGCTGACCCTGCATATTTACAAAATTGTTCTTAGAATGAGCAGTCCTGGGTATGACACATTTTGTAAGGTCCCAAGACAAAAATGAGTACTTGAAATAGCTGTTTTATTGTAGTCACAAAATAATTTTTGAGTAGCATTGCCATTCAGCAAAATGAAGAAATTAACTTGACCTGTTTTGTTGGTACTTTTGTTTGTTTTGTTTTTCTGGGACAGGGTCTCACTGTGTAGTTGAGGCTGGCCTTGAGCACCCTATGTAGCCCAGGCTGGCTGTGATCCTCCTGGCTCAGCTGCCTGGATGCAGGGATTGTAAGTGTGCGCACCACTTTGGCTCTCCTGGGATCTTTTCAGTGCTCTGTTTAGGCTTTCATATGTCTGCCCCACTCTAATGTGTATACCTAAAGATGTCTCCAGACTTATTAGAGCTTAATGTTGATATAACATGCCTGCTGGCATACTGATATCTAAAATAATACCATAATATTTTATTGTAATGTCATAAAATATGAATGCCCAAGGCAGATTATTGTTTTATGGCTTTGACTAAGTAAAATGATTACAACTGCCCTCCAGACCCAGTGCCTAGTGGAGGTTGAGTAACATGTACTGGCAGTTTTGGCCAGGAGGATTGATACATTTGGGATTTTAGAGACTGTGGTGGATGGGAGGGGACAAACCCTGCTAATGTGTGTTCATTTTACACACCTGGATAACACCCTGAAAGAGGAGCGATAGGCAGTAGAACTGGTGTTTGGGATGGAACCAATTTTGTTCACTAGGCAGGTAAATGGACAGTTTAACTCCCTTTCATGCTATGCTGTACTTTGAAAACTCTAAAACTTACCATATCTCTTTTACAGGTTGATAGTCTAGTTTTTTATAACTATGAAGTTCCTTAGAAACTGACAAACAGAAACAGTAGCCTGTCTTTTTAGTCTTCCCCTGCAGGCCTGATCAATGGAGATAGATTATCCCTCCTGAAAGATAACTATTCCTTGTGTAGCAGAATTAAGAGTTCCTGATTTATACAGAGTCAATTGTAGAATCAAAAGAAACTTTAGGGGGCTGGAGAGATGGCCCAGTGGAATAAGTTGCTTCCCTGGCAAGCACAAGGTCCTGAGTTCAATCCCCGGTTCGACAAAAAAAAGAAAGAAAGAAAGAAAGAAAGAAAGTAAGTTCAGCCAAAATTCCCTTAGAAGGGCCGGCCAAATAGTTCAGCAGATTAAAGTGCCTGCAAACAGGGGCCAGGGGTTCAATCCCTGGGCCTGCTGTGCTGGCCCTGCCCCTGGAGCTTGCTGAGATGGCAGTTGAGAATGGGTGTGGTGGTACACCTGCAATCCCAGCACTTGGGAGGCTATAAACAGGGAGAGCACTGTGAGTCCTATCTAGTATTGAGACCCTGAACACCCTGTAGACCCTTCCCTAAAATAATTTTTTTTAAAAAAAATTCCCTTAGAAACAAAAGCCCCATTATGGAAAATGTATTAGTTTTCTATTGTTGCCACAACAAATTATTAGAAATTTAATAGCTTATGTATTTATTTACTTACTGATGTATTTACT